ATACGGATGAAGACTACATCCCGGGCGGAGAGTGATACATGTAAAATACAGTAAATGTATGTAAATTGGGCTGTGAGGGGCCCGTGAAATGCACTCTTCGCCCGTGATATAGTCTTTTCCTCAAAACACACCCTTAATCCACAAACAAAGCCCTGTTATTCTTTATCTTTCCTGTTTCTTGTATCACGAACCAATCGTATACTAAATCGAGRTTAATGAGAAACGATTTCTAACCGCCAAACTCATCATGAACGAAGCGACGAACATCAAGATTAAGACGAAGTTGGAGACATTTTATCTCGATAATAGACGTCAGATAGGGAAGGACTTGTAGAACAAACTTCGGGCACAATTCTTTTGTTCTATGCGACATGAACTTACAGTTGAGTGATTTTCGAAGATCGGTATAATTTCACAAATACATTATAGGATATGCATCATTAACTTATTTTCGCTAACACTGATTGGCTAGACAAAAGACAATGAACATTCAAACGCAAATGATTGACAGCATTAAACTCCCTTGAGTCATATCAGGGTAAACATTTTGATTGACATCACTTGATACATAGTTAATATTAACTATTCTTGATATGACCAGGAAGACTCGTGTTATTGCGATCGACTTTATTGTGTTTTCCTTGACAACCGAAATTGAGAAATAATCTTCAGCGACTTCACATGAATGACTTGTTGTATTTCTCTTGACAACCGAAGTTGAGAAATATACGCCCTTTTAAAGCATGTCCCTAGTTCTAACCGTCCTTTTGAATCGTGTGAACTAAATCTAACCGTCCTTTTRAATCGTGTGGACTAGTTCTAACCGTCCTTTTGAAGCGTGTGAACCAGTTCTAACCGTCCTTTTGAAGCGTGTGAACTAGTTCTAACCGTCCTTTTGAAGCGTGTGAACTAGTTCTAACCGTCCTTTTGAAGCGTATGAACTAGTTCCAACCGTCCTTTTGAAGCGTGTGAACTAGTTATAACCGTCTTTTTGAAGCTTGGAACTAATGCTTCTGAAGCGTATGAACTAGTGTTGACCGTCCTTTCGAGGCGTGTGATTTATTTCAAACCGTCCTTTTGAAGCGTGTGAACTAGTTCTAACTGTCCTTTTGAAGCGTGTGAACTAGTACGAACCCACCGTCCTTTTGAAGCGTGTGAACTAGTGCTAACCGACCGTCCTTTTCAAGCGTGTGAAAAAGTACAAACCGACCGTCCTTTTGAAGCGTGTAAATTAGTGCTAACCGACCGTCCTTTTGAAGCGTGTGAACTTATACTAACCGACCGTCCTTATGAAGCGTGTGAACTAGTGCAAACCGACCCTCCTTTAGRAGCGTGTGAACTAGTTCTAACTGTCCTTTTGAAGCGTATGAACTAGTTATAATCGTCTTTTTGAAGCGTGTGAACTAATACTTTTGAAGCGTATGAACTAGTGTTGACCGTCCTTTTGAAGGTATGAACCGGTTCTAACCTTCCTTTTGAAGCGTGTGAACTAGTCCTAACCGTCCTATTGAAGCGTGTGAACTAGTACAAACCGACCGTCCTTTAGAAGAGTGCGAACTAGTGGTAAACGACAGTAAACTTGGAGATATTAGCATGTACTTGCTATCTTGTAATTCAAGTATAAATAAAGTTATTGTATTGTATTGTATTGTCCTTTTGAAGCGTGTGAATTAGTGCAAACCGACCGTCATTTTAAAGCGTGTGAACTAGTGGTAAACGACAGTCCTTTTGAAGCGTGCGACTAGTGCTAACCAATCGTCCATTTTGAAGCGTGTGAACTAGTGCTAACCAGGCTTACTCTATCATGTCGTGTGTTTATGTTAATCCGTGTTGTTGTCCTAAAGGGGGAACTTTCGGTAGCTCTGATCTATCTACTGTGAAGCCGTAGAGGCGCTAAATATGCGAAAGTCAGGGTTTTCAACATGGGTTATAAAAACTGTAATTTTTACCAGAGATGTATTTATCCAAAAGTTTATAAAATTTTGATCATCTGGCTTCGTCTTCAGATAGATCAYATGATGATAACAAGAGAAATGAAAGAGGATTAAGCCATGGTTTGGTTGGGCTCCTATTCCCTTGTCTGCCATCTTTCTTGTTGTATTCTACACTGAGCCTTGTAAG